CATTTTGCCAACTTTTACATTTTTTTAGTAAGGGCTACATTTTGTTAACTATTTACTTGTATTGTTTTGTTTTACATTTTTAATGTATACATTTCTGTTTCAAAGGTAGCTCACCTGGGGGTCTCCAAACTTATTCCTCGGGTGAGCTACCTTTGCAAAACGACAATTCCAGAGAGCTGTGACTCATTTTAGCAGTCGCAGAAATTAAAGTGTACATAAGAGCAATGGCAGGACTTCAATGGGATACAGTTAGATAAAACATAAAACAATATTTATGAGTGCACAAAGTCGGGCATCAAAATGGTAGATTCACAATAATAATAGGCATTTAATTCATCAAATTTGAGGTGCTGGGTTAGTGTAGTGTGTAATTCAGAAATCCCTTGGCGAGCTACTTGAAAGGGGGTGGAGAGTTACTGGTAGCTCCAGAGATACAGGTTGAAGACCACTGGCTTAGTCATAACATAAACTCTTACCAGTCTTATCAGCTCGTCAAAACAATGATATTTACAGTGGTCCCTCATTTATGGTGGGGGTTACGTTCTAAAATTAACCCGTGATATGTGAAATCCACGAAGTAGTCAGCTTTATATTTTAAAATTATTATATCTGTTTTAAGGCGGTAAAACCCCTCACCACACACTTTATACACTTTTCTCACACAGGACAGTTACAACACTTTTTGCATCCTTCTTAAAACTAATTGCTGCTGTCGTCCTTATGTTTTTTTTCTCTTTCTTTATGTAACGTACCCAAGATTAATTTATTCCGTAATGGAGCCTACTGCGCAAAGTCCTGCACGGGTCAGTTTTTGGAGACCACACAGCACCGCACCTGCCCGTTAACCCGAGATTATATCAAACTTTTGCGCTGCCTACGCCACAGACTGAACCAAGACTAAACTAGGACTAACCCGGGACTAATCTAGGACTGATTCCAGGACTGAAGAGGAGGACTAAACCAGGACTAAACCAGAACTCACCGTCGGGATGGGCTTGGAGGTGACCGCAGACAGGACCGACTCAGAGCTCTGGACCTCACAAAGCTAATTGCTGTAAATGCCCGATTGCGCTTTGCGGGCAACCTGGTTGGGGTTCTCTCTCTTAAGTCCAAGATTAGTCCTGGTTTAGACCTGGTGTAGTCCTGGTTTAGTCCTGACCCGCCTGTGTGTAATCACTACCCGCCTGCATACCCGCCCGTAATCATGATGCAGGGGGAGGAACACAACATACACTGTGAAAAAAAGCATGCAAAATTACACACACAAAAAAAATCCGCGAAACAGCGAGACCACGAAAGGTGAACTGCGATATAGCGAGGGACGACTGTACTGCTTTTTTTAAAATAAAGAAATACATTTAATATTATGCAGAATTGAGTTCCCTGTTCTAAACCTGTTCAAGAAAGGTTCATTTGTGTCCTGTGAATGTGTCGTTTTAGTTTCGATACCTGCTCAAATGAGTATCTAATTTCAATGCTAGTTTTAGAATCGATTAGTAGATTTTCAATATTTTTATTCTAATAGTTTAAACTGAAAAGAAACCAAAATTTCTTCTAACGTGTGATGTCAAAACTTGTAACTTCCTAAAGGTGGATTGTGTAATTTTTTTGGTAAAGGGTCCGTCAAATGTTTTTCTCCATGGAGACATTATTGGTTTGGCTGGAATGTTTCACAGTATGGCATTAGTAATTCATTTCTATCTTCATGGAGACCAAAAACTACCAAGTTACAGGTCAGATCTGTGGAAAGGTGGCCCCGTTCACAGTCAGAATGTTGTTCTTCTAGTTTTTTGCGCTATAAAACCATCTATAATTGAGTAAATATAAGGAAAAGCAGTTTAATGTCACACTGTGGAACTTTCCCGGAAGTTCCTGATTCTTTGTTATCTAAAAATCCTCATAGAAGTGACCAGGTGCCCTCACAGCGTCGAGTACAGTTTGCGGTTAGGTCAAAAGAGGAGCAGTCGGGGTGAGCGCTCATGCAAAACTAAAGTGCCACAGGGAAGTCTCACCTCCATGGTCCAAAAACACCATTCTTCTTCTTGACCCATTTTCGCTGTTTTAGTCACAGGTTTTCCAGATCCTTCCGTTGTGAAAGGAAGAGACAGCGAGCTTCTTAAGTGTCTCTGAGGTGCTCAACATCAGGGCAGTGACCAGAACTGAGCCTTTGGGGGATTACACTGGTCATGAGATAGTATGGATTAAGGTTTATGGCTTTGGATCAGTGGCAGGTCACTCTTGGAAATCTGTAAAGGGTCCCATTGTGTTTTACGAGCTGTTTCCCCCCTAATAATTCTTCTAACAACAGTTTTAAAGCAAACCAATTGACTTTTCAGATCCTTTAATCGTGTTATAGTTGTTTCCCCTTCTCATTTACACTCTTGAAGTTGTATTTGGAGTGATTAGTGCGTGTTTGAGCGGGCTTTATTTGCTTATTTTCAAAACGCTCTCAAGTGGTTTTCCAATTTTATTTTCTTAAGTAGTGATACGCGCAGGATTCAGCAGCGTCGCATAGTGATTTTGGAAAAAAAAAAAAAGCTTGCTAGGGCTGGGTATCATTAAGAAGTTGCTGATACGATACATAGTCCACGATACGATACATATCTCGATACAGTGCACTTACTATTCTGAACATATCTTGATACACAGGCCACGATTCAATACATATCACGATACATAGGTCACGATATGATACATATCTTGATACAGTGCACTTACAATTCGATATATATCTCGATACAGTGCACTTACTATTCAATACATATCACGATACATAGTTCACGATACAATACATATCTCGATACATAGGCCACGATACGATACATATCTTGATATATAGGCCACGATATGATACATGCCTCGATACAGTGCACTTTCAGGTTCGATATGATATATTTCAAATCGATTTGATACAACGCAGTACAAAATTAATGGCTAAATCATGATTGTGATACTAAAAATCTTTGTTAAACCACTTCTTGTGCAAAGTTCATATGAAACACGCCAATTTTAATCATCAAATCAAATGTCAAATGTGTCACATAAACAAATTTTCTTCCTTCAAACAAGAAACAAAAACGTAGTGCTGTAACAAAATAATGTAGTTAAATATACCAAAAAATACTCTTGGCAATACATTGATACAGCAGCCCACGATATCGATACTGTATCATCACATTAAACGATACGATATATCGATATTTCAATATTTTTGCACACCCCTACTGCTCGATAGTGTAATCTGCAGCTATCCATCTGAGTTGCAGACCCTTTTTTTGCAAAGACTTTTACGATGACATCTGCTCCCTTTGGGCACCACTATTTCCTAATGCAGAAATCAGCGGACTTGTTTCTTTTATTAAGTCGTTTTAGATGAATATTGCAATTTAAAACACAATGATCCACAGGTGTTGTATTGTAACTATAGAGCAGACAAAAGCACAGTGCGTTGTCTTTAAAACTATATGTGGCAGGTATAAGAATTAGGTTCATATTAGCCGACTGATCCAGGATCTGTGGACCTTACAAAACCAGGATGACAGTGTTAAGCCTAATTTGGTGACCTTTGTGGGTCAGTTGGTTGACTCCTATGGCTACTTATTATAGAAAACAAAAGGTGTTCAATATAAGTAAGAAGTGTAAGACCAAACAGTAGATTTTCATTAGGCTTTCAGATGAAATATAAAGTCAAAAGGTAATTCGATAATAACTACCAATGAAGATTTATGTGTTGTGTTGAATACATAGACTGGATATAGAAATGGATATAGCATGGGCGCGCTTTCGGCTCCATGGACTCTGGCTTCATTTCACTTTACACTGAAAAATTGTCACCACTGTCTCTGTAACTGCTGCAGTGAGCCTCATCTTTTTTTTTTGGTGCAAGCCACGTAGTTATAAAACAACACTAAAAGTACAATAAAAGTAAAATGACAATAAAGTTACAGTGTAGATGCAGTCATACGCATCACTTCGTAGAAACCGTCTGATCTCGCAGTGTTAGGATTCGTTCGCTCGATGGTAGGCGGATACTTTTTTTTTTTACTTTTTGGGTTTTTTTTTTAATCGCTGCTATTTTTTCGTGACGTTTGTAATGCACCACTAACGGGGCTAAGTAAATTCACCAAACGTTCTCTTTGTTCTGGCTTTAAATACTCGATCTTGGGAGTCGTTGCCAATACAGAATATATAGCTCTTCGCTGATTGGCTGGTGCCCGAACTCACACTTCCGGGGTTTTTTGCAAACCATCTAGTGTATTCGATTTCCTGACCTAGTCACTGGAGAGAAATGAAATTGAGTGGAGGCACTAGATGGCACCAGCCTGACTAATTGCCCATAAACACACACACACACACACACAAAATCCTATAAAAGATAATCCATTTGAAATATAGGCTGGAAGACCATTTGTCCATGAATAAATCTGTCTTCATTTGTAACCTTGCAGTTATTTGCGTTATTTAAAATGTTTGTATTAACCCTCTCTACATGATCCTGATGTTTTCATTTCACTCTTTTGTCCATAAATGAATCCCTATTTCTTATATGAAACTCGGCTCCAAATTTATATAAGAAATCCTAACAAAACTGTAAGCCTCCATGAGCTTCATTTGACTGGAGCTGAACGCTGTGGGTGACGTCACACTCCCTCAGTCCACTTCTTTATATAGTCTATGGATTTATCTTTATGTTAAACAAAACCAAAGCTGTTTTCATCGCGTTGAGTGTGTATGGAATCATAAAGACACTGCTGGTCTTAGCGTAAAACCACAAGTGACAGGCAATTGAAAGCTAATGTACTTTTCTCATGGCTCAGTGGTGTGTGGTTTGGGGGAAGTCTAGTATTATCTTCTCACGTTACTGTTCCAAAATTAAAATGCCTGTCCCTCCACTTATGTCTAAGCCCTAACTGTTTATATGCCCCAGTAATACACACCCACAGTGAAGCCGTCTTTTTGTAATTGTAGAAGACTTAAAGTGCCTTCTTCCTTGTCTCCAGGCGGAAATAAACTGAAACCGCAGCCTTTCCGTCTCAACTGGGCCTGGATCTCTCTGGAGAGGGAATACTACTTAGTGGACGAAGATGCGAAATTTCTGGAGGTGACTCTGAAACGAAGAGGCTTTCTTGGGGAGACGTCATTTGTCAGTAAGTGTTAAAATCTGCAGAGTCTTTAAAAAGTTTGTAAAAAAAAATCACGTTACATTTAAAAGGCCCCATATTACACCATTTTATGTTTTGTTGCATTCACATGTTTAACACACGAACCCTGCACATTTGGGCTGAGTTCTCCCCTCAAACAGAAAACACATGCATTCTGTTCCACCTTGTGATGTCATGCAGTAATACAGGAAGTGCTCCACTGTGTTTTTAAACTCCACACACCTTCACTTGAATCATTTGGATGATTTCAGTTCTGACATAGCCAATTTCTACTAAACAAAAGGTAAAAGAAGCTGTTAACGTGAGAACTACCATGACATCACAAGGTGGAACAGAGTATTTTGAGATTTAGAGATGTAGACAGACTAATAATAAATAATAATAAATGACTCAAACATGTGTGAATGAAATAAAACACAACTCCAGGTTTGTTTTCAAGGAGGGAACTCACAAGAATCCGTTATTGTACATTAAATTTAATTAAATTATTTATTTTATTTAATAAGACATTATGAAAGACAATTAGCATTTTTGGTTAAGAAAAAAACAGATTTTTAAGTACAGACACGTACAGATACACTGACCTTACAATAGATATTTATTTTATCTATAGACATATTACACACTGCAAAAAACAAAATCTAGTCAAGTTAAGATGACATTGAATTAAGAAAGTTTTATCATGATTTGAGTCAATTTCACTTGACAAGTAAAATTATCTGCCAGTGGAATAAGACTTTTTGTAAAAAAAAAAAAAAAAAAAAAAAAAGAAACAAAATTGAATGTTGCTTGAAGAAAAAAACACTTATTCCATTGGTAGATAATTTTACTTGTCAAGTTGAATTTACTCAAATAAAGTAAAATGTTCTTAATTTAAGTCATTTTAACTTACCCAGATATTTGTCCAATGAGATTCATTTGGTGAGACATGTCAAACTCAGGCCCGGGGGCCAAATTTGGCCCGCGATATAATTATATTTGGCCCGAGAGATCATATTAAATATGTATTAGAGCTGCCCGCTGCCTACAGCAGATAGGCTACAGCTAAACTATTATTAAACATTTATTTTAATAAGAAAAAGTTTAACATTACATATCTTGAAAGAAGAGAAAACATGCAGATTTTGTTAGTCCCAGTTTTTAATACTGTCCTGTGTGAATTTGAATTTGACGCCCCTGCATTTGATCATCTGATCTTTTTTTTTTTTCAGAAACTGTCAGGTGTGTAAACAAACTCTTGGTCTGAAAAAAGAACCTAATAATATAATTACCTAGATATTGTTTTTTTTTCCTGCACATGCTTTAGCACAAATTACACTCATGCATCATTTGTAAAGGAAAAGCAAACTTAATAACATTTCTGTCCTGGAAATTCTAAACTGTAGCTTATTTTTATTCAACATTTTTATTAAACTCATTAGCAGTTATATCTAATGTCAGTTAATCATTAAAATGCATTATGTTTTTTCTTTGTTTTTTTGCCTCTAGTCGCCTCCGTCCCAGGATGTTGAACATTCTGAACACACAGCAGTCCAAAGTGCCAATAACTATGATTTAAATGTTTAGTTTCTCTTTAAAATGTGTTACCTGACCTTTTCCGACGCCTCACTTAAATTCATTTATGGGAAAGATGATGACAGTAAACATCATACCCCTATTAGCACACCCCCATATACAAGATTTACTGCGTATTTAACCACCGCTGACTCTGTATTCTCTCATTACAGCGGCGCTCAAAAGGCCACACGTGTAATAAAACATCAACATTGGCCTTATTTAAAATCTAAACAGATTCTTGTAAAGCTGCTGAATGTCTGGGTTTTATTGGTGCAATCACGCCCGGAGAATCTTGAATAGTGTGAATTCTTTGTTGTATTGTTTGCTCGCCGCTCCATTTGCAGAGCTGCAGTAAAAGAGCCGTGATTAAAAGTACACATGACCTTCTGGTGTAAAGGGCACCACACCAGGAACTAGGCCACACCTGACTCCACAAGCTACACCACACATGTTAGTAACCGTGTGGGCTATTTTGGTATAAGATTGTGCGTTATTAAAGGTCCTGTATTACGCAAAACTGACTGGTGTGAGCTTTACGGGTGCGCTCACATAGGGCTATATCTCGATGTACGATATATAACTTGATATCTGTACAGGAAAAATAACCCCGCAAAAAATACTGCAAAAATAAATATACCAAATTAAACAAGGTCTTTTTAATATCAAAGTGTAAAGAGGTAGGCAGTTCGTGTAGAAACAAAGTGCTTCTGCAACATAAAAAAAAATCCTTGTGTATAAAAATAATAATTAACTGTAAAGTAAAGGAAGAAATAATACATATTCCCTTCTTTTCTTTCAACAACTCAACTCAAGCTCATCATATGTAGCATAAGAAGCTCGGGAGGTTCCTTATTTTAATAAATCCATGTTCCTCTCCAGTGTTAAGGAGCTCTGAGGTATCCCACAATCCACTGCGCAGATCAAACTAAAAGCTTCCAAATACTCTTGTACAAGTTCTACACTGCAGCAGATTATTAACTAAAATCTTCTGCATAAATAAACTTTACATTACTAAACATAGAAAGCAAAATGACTATAGAGCCACATCAGCCCGTTTTATATGATAATGTGTTTAAAGCAGTTTTGTGCACATTTGTTTACGTTTTACACTAACGAAACTTAAAACCACATGGCTCATTTGCATAAACTATAAATGCTGAAAAAAACAGCTTGCCCACCCCTACACTCATTTTAGCCCAACCGAAACCCTAAAGCTCCTAGAGCAGGGGTGTCAAACTCAAATTCACAGAGGCCAAAATTAAAAACTGGGACTGTCTGGAAAAAAAACTGAGAAGTCGTGGGCTAAATATTTATTGAAAAATCTCAACAACATCTGCCTGTTTTCTCTTCTTTCGAGATATGTAATGTTAAACCTTTTTTTTATTAAAATAAATGTTTAATAATAGTTTTGCTTAAACATTGAATCCAGAACAAGCAGAATATAAAATAACAACAAAATGTTAAATAAATAATGTCACTATAGCCGATCTGTAATCGGCGGGCCAGCTCTAATGCATATTTGATATGATCTCGTGGGCCAAATGTAATTATATCGTGGCCAAATTTGGCCCCCGGGCCTGAGTTTGACATGTGGCAAATTTGTCTAGTGTGAGTGCAAAAGCCCAGATGGCCCAGAAGAAGAGGTGGGCCAAAGGACAGTTGCAGTATACAAGCCCTGTGTGTGTTACCCATACAAGGAAAGCAGTGAGTTAATTCCTCTCCAAAACACACGGCGAATCTGAACTTACCTTCAATAGAGACAGTGACAGGGACAGACGTTTTGCAGCTTCTCTCCTCTAGCTGTCCTCACTCCTCCACACTGTTATTATATCCATAAACTCACAGAGGAGCGCGTATCATAAGAGGACGCATATCTGTCTCGCTATTTAATATATATTTCATGCCACTGGTCTTCTTTCTCAACCAAATCTTTAGCTCTGCTGCACGACATGTAAACAAACAGCGCCGTGTGATGGTATTATCAGGCTGTGGCTCGGTTCGGTTGTGCAGGTTTGAGTGCAGGATATAGAACCCACAGAAATAGTGCTTCACCACAACACGGTTCAAAAGTCCTATTGTGAGTGTGCGCTAAGACATGTTAAAATGTTATCTCATCAAAAACAGACCTGGAGTTGTGTTTTGTTTCATTCACACATTTGAGTAACTCTTGATTATAAGTCTGTCTACATCTCCCAAGCTCCAAATGCTCCGTTCCAACTTGAAGTGGTAGTTTTCAAGTTAATGGCTAACAGTTCCAGGGCTGAAATTATCCAAATGATTCTGGTGAAGGTGTATGGAGTTTAAAAACACAGTGGAGCACTTCCTGTATGAGCTTTGGAGATGTATAGTCCAAAAATGCATGCTTACTCAATGTGTAAATGAAACAAAACACAACTCCAGGTCTGTTTTTGATGAAGCAACAACATTCTAACATGGCTTAAAGCTCACAAGAGGCAATTTTGTGTTATATTGGCCCTTTAATACTTTTACAAAGTGCTGGTAATCATGTAATTATTACTTTTCCTTCAGGCATTGCTACCGTGGATGGCACCGCAGTGAAGGATAAAGATTTCCGAGGTAAATCACAGAAACAGGTTCAGTTCAACCCAGGACAGACCACAGCAACATGGAAGGTGAAGATCTTTACGGACCAGGAGTTTGAGACGTCGGAAAAGTTCAACATCCAACTCTCCGACCCTGTTATGGCTGTGCTGGAATTCCCCGACGTGGCCACAGTGGAGATAGTGGACCCCGGCGATGGTATCAGATATAAAAACAGAGTGTGTTTGGGTGCATTTTTAGTGTTTTCGTTGCTGATTTTCTTTCTCGTAACAGAGGCCACAGTGTACATCCCTCAAGCGGAGTTCAAGATCGAGGAGGACATAGGGGAGCTGTTGATCCCAGTGCGGCGGAGCGGAGATGCGAGTCAGGAGCTAATGGTGGTCTGCCACACACAACAAGGTATTAGACTTATAATAATCACAATAGATCTTGTTTTGTCTCATTAACTTGTTTTGTTCTTTTGGAATATGTACTCCTTTTCTTTTCTGTATTCTTTGTACATCATCTTAGAGTGTTTCGAAGAGTGTTATATAAGTAAAATGTTCTATTATTATTATTATTTATGTCGCACTTTACATGTGAAAAACAATTCTCGGTTATAGTCGGTTGCAATAGTCGTTTTAAAGGTGCACTGTGTAACTTTTCTGATGCTTGTCGTGACGTCGTCGTTTTCCAAAAGCTGCGGTTTGCTTGTTGTTCTCAGATTTCTCCACTCTGGAACCCGTTCTCAAAAAACTCAATTTTCACCACCACCCGAAACGCCAGCTCCTTGTGGATGAAAGGCCAAAACAAACTTCACTGTTTCGATCAAAAAATGTTGTTGTGTGGACAGGCCCTTAAACTGTGATGCCGGACTGAACCAGGACTAAACCAGGAATAAACCGTTTTCAGTCCTGGTTTCAGTCCTGGTCTCAGTCCTGGTCTCAGGTCTCAGGTCCCTGGTCTGGTCCCAGGTCTGGTCCCAGTCTCAGTCCCAGTCTCAATCATGGTCTGGTCCTGGTTTTGTCCCGGCCTCAGTGCTGGTCTCAGTCCTGGTCCCGCACTCAGTCCTGGTCTGGTCCCGGTCTAAGTCTTGGTCTCAGTTCCGGCCTGGTCTTGTTTTCAGTCTCGATCTCAGTCCGGTCTCAGTCCCGTCTCAGTCCCGGTCTCAGTCCTGGTCTCAGTCCTGGTCCTGAACTCAGTCCTGCTCTGGTCCAGGTTTAAGTCCTGGTCTCAGTCACTGTCTGGTTCCAGTCTGATCCCGGACCTGGTTCAGTCCTGGTTTAGTCCGGCATCGCAGTTTAAGTCACAGAAACAAAAAACATCATTATCTGTTTTTTCCATTATTCATTTAAACACAAAATCGAAAACTGAAAAAACGAATCGTTATTTTTGGTTTTATTTTGAAAAACAAATGAACGAAAGATACACGGATTTAAAATGTTCCTTGTTATTCCACTTCTGTCTCGGTAGCTCAAATCGACAGGAATTAAACACAATCCATCTTGCATTTCCTCATTAACATATTTTGTTTTTTATTTACTCAAAAACGTGGATTCTTACAGTGAGTGGGCTCGCCTCTCCACAGACCTGACATTTATCTTCCCCCTGTGGCGTCACCTGCTGTCTCTACGTGGTGATAAATAAGCGTAATGCCATACAGTGGAGCATTCTAGGCAACATCAGCATGGAGAAAAGCTGGAGAAAGACACTCTACCAGAAAAGCTACACAGTGCACCTTTAAAATCACGTAGAATAACAACAATAGGAGACTTAAGAACGCTTATTTTAATCCTTTAAAGTGCCCGGGTTTACACTTAATTGCACGTTATAACAGAGATCATATGTGAGAAAATAGTTGGAGGATTATCACGGCTCCCATAGGTTAATCCACTGTGTTTGTCGCCAATAGGAGGATAAAAATAGATCATTAAGAAAAACAACGAAAAGACGAGCAAAATATTGTTAGAGATTTCACACAGTATTGAAAGAGGCTTAAACACTCAGACTGCGTGAGCCTTTAATTATAAACTGTGTGTTTAGAGGAAGAAGCTTCATAAACACTTTCTTTTTTGTCAGGAAATTTTTCAGTAAAAAGAACGATTGTATTGTATTGTGTAGTACTGCAATTACAATTAGGTTTGAGATTTCGGTATACAAAGCGGGATTTTATTCAGAGTGCACATTTGAAACCGATTTAGGGGCGTTAACATTTGAGAAAAGACTGAAATATGAATTTAAACTAATACAAGAATTATATATATTTGGGAACGTGTTAGTAGAGATCTAAAAACGAAAGGATCTGCTTTTGTTTTCAGAATATTTTTATACTTAAAGTGGACTTTTTAAAATAAATAAATACAGTCTTTGTGTAATAATATTAATAACTGGACTTAGTCAAATTGCAATTTCAATGTTGTTTGGAACAGATCATGGGTGACCAAACGATGGCCCCTCAAACCAGTTTTTGCTACTGAATTGGCCCAAATGACCATAGGGTCAGTGTTGGGAAGGTTACTTTTAAAATGTATTCCCCTACAGATTACAGATTACACACACCAAAATGTAGTTTGTAACATAATCCATTAAATTACTTAAGGTGAGTAACGTAATCTGAATACTTTGGATTACTTTACTAGTCTTGGTTTAGTCCTGTTAAATCCTGTTTTAGACCTGATTTAGTCCTAGTTTAGTCCTGGTTTAGTCCTGTTAAATCCTGTTTTAGACCTGGTTTAGTCCTAGTTTAGTCCTGGTTTAGTCCTGTTAAATCCTGGTTTAGTCCTAGTTTAGTCCTGGTTTAGTCCGGGTTTAGTCCTAGTTTAATCCTGGTTTAATCCTGGTTTAGTCCTAGTTTAGTCCTAGTTTAGTCCTGGTTTAGTCCTGGTTTAGTACTGGTTTAGTCCTGATTTAGTCCTGGTTTAGTCCTGTTAAATCCTGGTTTAGTCCTAGTTTAGTCCTGATTTAGTCCTGGGTTAGTCCTGCTTTAGTCCTGGTTTAGTCCTAGTTTAGACCTGGTTTAGTGTCAGACAATGAGTGGAATCACCGACAGGAAAAAAAAAATTAAAAATAATAGCCCCAGGATATAGCCCCAAATGTGAAAACAGGAAAATACCACTGTGTAATCCATTTATTTCAACAAAGTAACTGTAATCCAATTACCACTCACTGAAACAGTAACTGTAACTGAATACAGTTACTCATAATTTGTACTCTGATTACACAACTCCGGTACATGTAATCTGTTACTCCCCAACACTGCATAGGTTGTATATTTTGCTGCAAATTTAGGTATTTCTACCACTAAATCCTCAATAATATGACATTGTTCTGTGATATAGACTTTAAAATTTGTGTTCCAAGCCTTTTTACGCACAGTGACCTACATAAAATCTATCTACACTACCGATCAAAAGTTTTAGAACACCCTAATTTTTCCGGTTATTTATTGCAATTCAAGTCGTGCAAGTCCAATAAAGAGCTTGAAATATTACAAAGGTAAGAAATGAACAGACCAGAGGTTAAAAAAAAAGATAAAAGAAACAAAACACAAGTCCAAGCTCTGCCAAAACAGTGTACCAGGGCCTGTATCAGTTCATTATTTTTACCACTTCTTCTCTTTGTCTCTTTTCAGGCACAGCCACGGGCACCGTCCCCAGCACCGTCCTGTCCTACTCTGACTACATCACCCGCCCCGAGGACCACAACAGCGTGCTGCGATTTGACAAGGACGAGAGGGAGAAGTTCTGCCGCGTCATAATCATCGATGACTCCCTGTATGAGGAGGAGGAGAGCTTTAACGTCACCCTCAGTATGCCCATGGGCGGGCAGGTGGGCGCCAAATACCCCAGTGCCAAAGTGACCATCCTGGCGGACAGTGATGATGGTGAGTTTTGTTAGAATTTGCACGTGGGTGATATTTCAAGTTTATATATGTTTAAAATCAGACTAAAGATTAGATCAACTTTTTTTCCACAACTATACTGTCTATTAGGGCTGGGTATCGTTCAGAAGTTGCCGATACGATACATACCTTGATACAGGTTTCGATTAGTTACAGTTCAGTATGATATATTCTAAATCTATTCGATACAGTTCCATTTTTTAAAAAAAAGGTTAAATCATGGCTGTGATATTAAAGTCTTTGTTAAACCACTTCTTGTGCAAAGTTCATATGAAACAAACATTTTAATCCTCAAAACAGTGAAAATGTCAAATGTGTTGCATAAATGAGTTTACTTCCTCTGAAAAAGCAGTAAAATTGTAGCTCTGTAACAAATTAATTTTGTAAAATATACCATAAAAATACACTTGACGATATATTGATACAGCAGCTCACAATATCGATGTATCATCACATTAAACGATATGATATATTGATATTTCAGATGAAGACAAAGAGGTAGAGCGCTTCACTGGGTCATAAAAGAGTTATAGAGAAAAAAATATCAGTACAGGTGATCTACGAGGTTTAAAACAGTAGTCTTTAAACAGAAAGTTACCCTTATTGGAAAATGTAAAAGTGGGCAAGGTACAAACCCAAGGCACTCCAACTGAATATATTAAAAGTCCTTTATTACATGAAGGGACGCCAACACGTTTCATCCAGCAAGATGGTCCTTGTCAGGGCAAAGTCATTGATATTTCAATATTTTCTCACACCCCTACTGTCTATATGGTGTTTTAATAGCGTTATTAACTAAGATTGCACCTTTCTGGTCAAAGATACCTACATTTGTTGTGCTTGGCTTCATTCACACACGTTTAACAAACAAAGCCTGCACGATATAGCCTGAGTTCATCTCTCTACGTCTCTCTTCGTCTCTAGTCTACGTTTATATGATGATGGTCTGAACAGAAGATGCAAAAGTGGCGTCGCGTCTTCACTTTTTATTTAGACGAGCGTTTTTAGGAGGAAATCTGTGTTCAAACGGTGACGCAAAAGTGTGTGGAATTCGATCAATTATTCATGCCAGGTTTCTGTGTACTGTATGTATGTGTTATAAAAGCATATGTGACGTGAGCAGATCTGACCAGATAGTCCAATGAGATTCATTTGGTCTTCCGATATTCTATGTTATTAGGTTAGGGGTTAGCTTTTTTTCAGACCTAGAGTGTTATTTCATACCTGACAGTTTCGACTGCTCACTAGCGTCTTCCTCAGAGTGGTCACGTGATGTTGCTGTGACGTGTCTGGTCAGCTGATTTAAACAGGTTTTGGCGCTGTCTTCCTACCGGTGGAGGGGGCTTTTTTACTCTCACACACCTGGGATGCTGTCCTGAGGAAGTCGGACTGCAGGTGGCGCTGTCGTCCTGCCTCCACCGGTAGGAAGACAGCGCCAAAACCTGTTTAAATCAGCTGACCAGACACGTCACAGCAACGTCACATGACCACTCTGAGGAATACGCTAGTGAGCAGTCGAAACTGTCAGGTATGAAATAACACTCTAGGTCTGAAAAAAAGAACCTAATAACATAGATCTGACCAGAGTTTTGCGTCTTGGGCAGTGTAGACTGAAACGCTACGGCGGAGTGTATTCAACTTTTCCACTCTGGAGGGTGGTTTCAGATTTTTGTGTTTGTAAGCCCCAAAAACGCCGTCACCATCTAAACAAAAGGCACTTCGGATAAAATATTTAGTCGTTTTTACCTGCAAGTGTTCTCGTGTAAACAGTAAACTCTTAAATGAAATAATAAAAACACACTGTTCCACCTTGTGATGTCATGTGGTAATACAGCAAGTGCGCCACTGTGTTTTTAAACTCCACACACCTTCACTAGAATCATTTGGATAATTTCAGTTCTGGAGTTGCTAATCTCTACTGAACTAAATGTGAACGATGCAGTCGCACTTAACATGAAAACTACCACTACATGACATCACAAGGTGGTACAGAGCATTTTGAGCTTTGGAGATGTAGACAGACTAATAATAAAGGGTTGCAAACATGTGTGAATGAAACAAAAACACAACTCCAGGTCTGTTTTTGATGAGGTAACAACATTATAACATGACTTAAAGCTCACAAAAGTCAGTTTTGTGTAATATATGAGCTCTAATACTGTTACTGCTGGAGTTTATTTGATCGTAAAGTTCAAAAAAATGTTGCAACCATCCACGTTATTGTTTACATCATATCGGTGTCATCCAACCACTCTGCTCTGTCCATAGATAACAACAGACAGGTGTAGTGGGAGTGGGAATGCAGGGCCCCAGTGGATGTTATGTTAAAGCGTGCACTGTTTGACACATGAAAGCATTTTAAACACGGACGAGCGGCCCCTAGTCAGCGCTCATTGGGATTCAGGGAAGAGCAGGGGCGGCAGGGGCAGCGGGGGCAAAGGCAGGTGCTAGAAAGGGTCTGGCTATTGTGGAGAATTACAAATGACTGGCATGTTTTTGCTCTGTCTCTCTGGCTTCTCAAGACATCCTGTTTTGTAAGGTAATGCGTGATAAAACATGGGTGTAAAATGAGTTTCAGAGATAGTCATGATGTCAGTGAACGCACTAGAGCAGGGTTGGGCAATTATTTTTTCCTTGGGACCACATAAGAAACAGAAAATATTGTGGAGGGCCAATTCTACATAATTTTAATTGCATTTCTTTATAAAAATCAATAAATAGCTTTGTTTTGAGCAATGTTTGTTATGATTAAGCAATGAAAAAGTGAGGCTGCCTTACAAAAAATGTCATTTAAAAAAACATCTCTAAAATAAAAGCAATGCAGCTTTAGTCCATGCATGAGGTAAAATGATAAAATATGTTTATTTATTATAATTATACAACTAAGCCCTGATGAAGACCAGTTAAGGTCATGGTGTAAATAAAGATTTTGTGAGTCAATGTTAAACTGAACTGTACCTGGAAGATAAATTACCGTATTTTCCACACTAGGGTGCACTTAAAAGCCTTTAATTTCATCAAAAAACGACTGCGCCTTATAATCCAGAGCGCCTTATATATGAATTTATTGGGGTGTCTTAGTACGACTTTAGTAAACTACAAAGCCGCACCACTTGCAGCATTACGGCTCCCGTAGTCAGGAGCATCGCGGAGTAATACATACTGTGATTCCTTTTAATATCAAAATGCACCTGTCAAGAGACACGCTCACAACGCCCACTTTAAACTCAAAGTGCGAGCTGCATGGGAGCAGTGGATGAGAGAAGGTGAACACACATTCACCAAGACAGGGAGACAGCGCCGAGCGACTTACACCACGATCTGCCTGGGCTAAGGATCAGTATCAACTGTGGTCCGAGCTTTCACCAAGACCGGAATCATCAGTGAACTGCCAGGGAACAGTAACCACACTGACTCGGATAATGACGAGAGGGATGTGGACGTGCTGGACGCCGTAATCGCCCAACTGTTTGAACAATTATGAGTTATTGAGTGCGTATACATGCACATCAATAACCCGGTTATGATCGGGTTTTTTGAGTATCCCGGTTTCTTGATGGTGCATGTAAACGCAGTACCCCGGTTACTGCAACATAAAGTTGAGTGCGCATGCGTCCAAAAGACACTTTCCAGCCTTTCACCACAACAGTAGTCACATAAATAAATTGACCAACATAAATAAAGTGACCAAACGAGTGAAATGACTGTAAAATTAAGAGCTGCGCTAAACCTGCACATGTACAATCTGCACTCGTGTGACCTGCACTCGTGTGATCGCTGAAAAGCTAAAACATGAACTATCTCCTATACTCTATATGCACGGAACACACTTACCATCATTAGCGCCTCTTCTGTCACAGAAATAACACACATAATCCACAGAGTCGTGTCATTTAGTCCAAAAGAAACTGATCGCATCAGCGGCGCAAGGAGCGAGTTGTTTTTATCGCCGCTAACAGTTTATGCTAATTAGCCAAACGGTCTTAAGTTTCGTTTCTGTAAAACGTAAACAAATGTGATCACAGCTGAATTATCTGATCAAACGGGCTGATGTGGCTCTATAGTGTTTATGGTTTATATGTTGTAAAGTTGAGTTTATTTATGCAGAAGATTTTAATGAAGAATCTGCGCAGTGGATTGTGGGAAATCTCGTAGCTCCTTAGCTTCTTATGCTAAAGGAGCTCACGGTTTGTATTTTTCCTGGTTTATGAAATTGATTTAAGTTAATTTTTGCGCCTGCGCATTTGTAAGATTATGTCAAGAAACTGGGATACTCCATTTGATCATGTATACGCGAATATGAGTGTCCCGGTTTCTCAGTGCGCATGTATACGCAGTAACCCGAATACTGACATAACCGGGATATGGCTAATAACCGGGTTATTGATGTGCATGTATACGCACTCATTGTGAATACTCTAACAATTTAGCGTCTCAGACAGTATTTTTTTACACGTTACAATTGAACAAAGTTGAGAGTTATTGTGAACACATTAAATAAAATTTGACTGACTTATCTAACTGTTGTGTTTTGTTTAATGCGCCTTATAGTCCGGTGCGGTTTATATGTGGAAAAAAAAACTGAAAATAGACCATTCAATGACAGTGCGCCTTATAGTGCAGAAAATACGGTACTTAAATTCTCTTACACTATGAACCTCTCTATGTTGGACTTTTTACAAGATTGTTGATTCAACTAACAGAAAGTTAAAAAATCAAACAGTAAAAGAGTCATTGGTCAATAAAAACCCCTTTGTCTCAATGTGCCCCCTGTCTAAACTTTGCCATACTTGCCTTTCAAACACGTCAACTTAAATTATCGTCATTAAATGCCGCTCCGTTCTGCAAACATTTCCATTTACTTGACGCAGTTTCATACAGTTTGCCCTCCTTTTACACCACACTCTGCAGCATCGTTCTGTCAATAACCCCGTTGTCTCTCTCCTTCACCTTTCTCAGAGACTAATTTCTTCTTGTTTGTT